TCGACGCCATCAGCAACAAGTTCGTCTCCTATCTCACTATCACAAAGTGCGGCGAATGCCACAGCATCCCTTGGCGTAACACCAAATTCAATCAGTATCTTGTCTTCTGTTTCATCATCATCTGAGGTATCAGCGAATGTTTCATCTTCGATATCGACGCCATCACCAACAGGGTTTGTGACTATCTCACTGTCACAAAGTACGGCCAGTTTGACAGCATCCGTGGGCGTAACACCAAATTTGACCAGTATCCTGCCTTTTGTTTCATCATCATCTGAAGTATCCGCGGATGTTTCATCTTCGATATCGACGTCATCAGAAACAAGTTCTTTTTTTATCTCACTGTCACAAAGTACGGTTAGTGCCACGGCATCCCTTGGCATAACATCAAATTCCACCAATATATTGCCTTCTGTTTCATCATCGTCTGAAGTATCAGCGAATGTTTCATCTTCAATATCGACGCCATTGGAAAGAAGTTCCTTTGCTATCTCACAGTCACAAAGTACAGCGAGTGCCACAGTATCCCTTGGCGTAACACCAAGCTCAATCAGTATCCTGCCTTTTGTTTCATCATCGGCTGAATTATCAGCGAATGTTTCATCTTCGATATCGACGCCATCAGCAGCAAGCTCGTCTGCTATATCACCATCACAAAGTACGGTTAGTGCCACAGCATCCCGTGGCGTAACACCAAATTCAACCAGTATATTGCCTTCTGTTTCATCATCGTCTGAAGTATTGGCGAGTGTTTCATCTTCGATACCGACGCCATCAGCAACAAGTTCGTCTGCTATCTCACTATCACAAAGTACAGCGAGTGCCACAGCATCCCTTGGCGTAACACCAAATTCGACCATGGTCCAGCCGTCTGTTTCATCATCATCGGAAGTATTGGCAAATGTTTCATCTTTGATATCGACGCCATCAGTAAGAAGTTCTGTGGCTATCTTACTATCACAAAGTACGGCAGCATCCATTAGGGTAACACCAAATTCGACCACTGTCCTGGCTTCTCTTTCATCATCATCTGAGGTTTCAGTGAATATTTCATCTTTAATATCGACGCCATCAGCAACAAGTGTTGTAACTATCTCGCTATCAAAAAGTACGGCCAGTTTGACAGCATCCGTTGGTCTAACGCCAAATTCGACCAGTACCCTGCCTTCTGTTTCATCATCATCTGACGTATTACAAAATGTTTCATCTTCGATATCGACGCGATCAGCAGTAAGTTCTATGATTATCTCGGCCAGTGCTGCAGTATCTGTTGGCGTAACACTAGAGTCGTCAAGTGTACTGCCTTTTTTTTCATCTTCATCTGCGATATTAGTGAGTGTTTCCTCTTTGATATTGAAACAATCAGCAACAAGTTCTGTGGTCATCTCACCGTCACTTGAAAGTACAGCCAGAGCCACAGCATCAGTTGTCGTAACACCTGATTCATCAAGTGTGTTGCCTTCTGTTTCATCATCATCTGAAGTAACAGTGAGTGTATCCTCTTCGATATTGAAAGAATCAGCAACAAGTTCTCTGTTTATCTCACCATCACAAAGTACGGTCCGTGCGACATCATCCGCCATAGTAACACCAGATTCGTCAAGTATCCCACCTTCTGTTTTATCTTCATCTGCGACATTAGTGAGTGTGTCCACTTTGATATCGAAACAATCAGCAACAAGTTCTCGTTCTATTTTAATATCCCAAAGTACGACCACTACTTCAAAAGGAGAATCAACAAGCGTATATTCTCTTGTTTTATCGTTATCTGAGGTATTGCCAAGCGTTTCAACCCTAGCCACTATCTCATCGTCCAAGAAACTTGTGAGTGTGTCATTTTCGTTACTGGAACCATCAAGGAGTGTAGTGTCAACAAGTTCTGTGGGCTTGTCTTCTGCTCAATTGTTACCGAGTTCAACTCCAGCTTTAAGTAGTGTACTTTTTACCTCATCATATTTGTCCAGGGAAACTGTGAGCTTTGCAGCTTCTGTGTCGCCAACGCCTTCCACCGTGAAAGATACGTTACCTGCTTCATCTACAGTAACTATCCCGACTACTCCTGATCAAGGAACGATGGAGAGATTCATAGTTTACATGACTATAACAAATCAAGATTATGACACAATGCTTACAGAGAAAGAAAGTAATAAATACGGAACATTTTCTAAAGAAGTCGAAGATTCAGTTAAAACAGCCCTCGAAGAGGTTGAAGGTTTTGTCTACTCTAAAGTGGAAAGATTTAGTGAAGGCAACAATATTAGCTGCCAAATGACAGTCTTCGTAAAGAAAACGTTTTCTGTTACGGAAGAGAAGATTCGAGAGAAACTAGGAAACAAAATAGGTGTCTTGGAAATAACAGATGTAATTGTTGTGGACACGAGCTTGCCACCCACTGCACAGGAAGAGATTGTTTTTGAAGTAACAGTAACAATACCAGATAAAAATTTTACAGAAGAGCTCAGTGAACCCACGAGCTTAGAATTTGAAATGTTGGCTGCAAAGTTGAGTGCAATACTGACCGACGTCCTTGAAAATGAAGTTGCAAATTTTCTTCGTACAGAGATCACTGGTTTCAGCGAGGGCAGTATTATATGCAAATTTAATGTTATCACAGCCCAAGGTTCTAGTACATCGAACGAGGACATAAAAGACGCATTGACCAACGCGAGCAAAAATAATGAGACGTCTGGTTTCACTTTTACTAAAATTACGGTTGAGAAAAAGGTGGCCTCTGAAAAGCCGCGGACTGGAGATGAAGAGACAACGTTCCCTGATTGGGTAATTGTTGTGATTGCTGCGTTCGGAGTAATGGTGTTGCTTATAGTCCTCATGATCTATTTGGTAAGATAATTTTATTTTACTAGGGGCTCCGTAAAAAGAGAAAACTGACCGCTTCAATGGGAATTGTGTGAGAAATCCTCTTGAGTGGAATCGAATGAATACCTTTTTTCACCCCTTCTCCTCCCCGCTCAGTGTGTCTCACACCACCACCTTATTCCTTTGAGGAATGGAATACCGGGGAGGGGGGGAGGGAGCGGTGGGTGGTGTAGAAAAGATCAGCAAGTTTTCAAGACTTTTGTCATAATTTGTAAATAGGCGAAACATGTATTTGTGATTTCTGGCTGACTGGACGGCTAACGCTTCACCGCAGAGATTAATGACTATTTACTTACTAGAATCGCTGAATGAGTCTCTACTCAATATAAATGATGTAGTTCGGCGATTTACGGGGCATTCTTTTATTGCCCAAACATTACATTCAGTTTCACATTTCATTCTCTCTTACAATACCAACACATTGCTCGACAGACATGTGGTAGGAAATTAAAGAGGAAATCATGGATTCTCTGTGTAGCATTACCTTTAGGAAATACCGTCTTGTTGTATAAACATACAACATACAAAAATTGAACATAACATTTAAAAATGTCAATTTATTCTCTTGTAGATTTTTAGAAAACGCCGAATCCATCATCATGCTTTGGACTTTTTGGACATATACGATAACATTGGTATCGCGCTAGAGGATTTTCACGAGCGAAAGATGACCGTATGCCAACAGGAAAACGGGAGAACGGAGTAAATTGAAAGGTAACATGTGTTATTCAAGCTCTTTTCCAGCTCAATGGGAATGGAAAACGATATGTGGTCTATCAATCAATATTCAGTAGATATGGTTGCCAACGTCTACAGTAGCTGGATCATCCAGCCGGCTCCAAACGGTAGTAGACAAACAATATTTTATTTGCACTTCAGCAAACCAGTTAAACGGGCTTGTTGTCGTCCTGTTTGATTTACTGAGCGAGTGCTGGTGACGCAGAACACGATTAAAAGTTTGTTTTTCGGGAAAGAAACTCCTTGGATGATAAATCTTTTATTTGACATTTTGGTGAGATCTCTACACAGAGTGTCTAATCTTTTTTTTAATTTGACTAGCCTGCTAGCAGGCTCAGCTTCGAGTCACACGCGCGAGCCGCGAAGAGCAAAGCGATCTGCGCGGAAGGAGTCTGGTGAAGAGGCGCCAAGAAAGTCGATTTCGCCCTCGAGTGCTTGTGCTCCAACGTGTGCCTGCTCGCAGGCTCTAATTTGACTAGCCCAACTGTCATGCTAAAATACTGCAAGACCCGTAAAAATATACAACTCTACTGCACATTGTCTGATGAGATATATATATAAATTTATACTTCGGTTAACTTTTAGCCCTGGGTTAGCGTAAACTGGCTTCTGAACAACACGGCCCTGGCTAACGAAGCATTCAGGTGTCACGCCCGATGATCTTTCTGGCGCCTCACGTGATTAGATGAAACCGTCACGCAATACCTTACTTCTAACAATAATGAATTGATTGATTGATTGATTGATTTTATTTGATTTTATTTTTTCTCTCATTTCAGATGGTATATATAAGAATGTTACCTATGAAGAAAAGCAAGTTTATGTTCCATACGAACATTAAACGACCACTCAGCAATCAAGTCATTGCACAGTAAAGCAAAGACTGGTAGACAACATATGTACTACATAAACATATTTTGATAAGGACTTGATATACATGCGTTTTTATTTCATAAGGAAACGAAACAGATGTAACATGTTCATAACAGACAAATTTTGCCTTTGGTTGCCAACCTTAAAAGAGGCAAAAAAAATTGGAACAATTTTATGGAAAGGGAATTTATTTTGGTTAGTCCGTGACATCGTGGTGACATGATACACATAACCCAAAATGAGACTCCTTGTCTTTTTATTATCTTGTTCTAATGTATTATATGAAGTTTATTTTTGATAGGTAAGAGGATTTTTATGGATTTATTATAGTTTGAATTTTACTATTCCGTAGAATAGGCCCTTTGCAGCTGGGTTCACGTGACCAAACTTTTCCTAGAAAATTTTTATATTATGGGCTATAACTTGAAGAATGCAAGAAATGGAAAGAGCGCATCGAAAATACCAAAATGGCCAAGTTTGACGCCCCTGGGATTAAAGAGTAAGTTTATACGACAGTTTGAATTTTCGGAAAATTTAGAGGATTTGTATGGAGAATGTTGCTAGAGAACAAGGTGTTGCCCTCCAGCAACTTTTTCCACACAAGTTTTTGGATTCTTTTAAAAATTCAGACCGTCACAAAATTTCATTCTTTAATGATGGGGGCCTCAAATTTGGCCATTTTGATATTTTCGACATGCGTTTTCCATTTCTGGCATTCGTTAAGTTATAACCCATAATTTTACGAAAAATAGGTCACGTGATGGCTTAGCTGCAAAGGGCCTATTTCTCGAGAAGTGCAATCACCTTGCGTGTTTAAGGTGACTGAAAATTAGCAAATATCTTGTATCCAAGTATTGCATAAAACATTGTCCCGAGATAATTAACGCGCGTATTGTAAGAGCATAGTGCTGCTAAATCCAAAAACTAAGTTAATAGATCATACCGTTTTCTGTCTTATTATTTGTTTGTGCCGCCATGTAAAGAATATTATATTTGTCCATGCTTTATGAAAGTTCGGAAAAGGGAAAAAACTACATGCAAGCTAGCTGTACAAAGTTTACAACATCGTTTCTTTTCTTCATAAAGTAAGTGTTATTTTATAAAATATGTGCTAATTAATTTACACGGAATAATCCTGGAGCGCATGGAGGAAGCATTCAGAGTCAAGTACTCATGTAGGAAAACACTGAACACTTCTGATCATAACAGTACAAAGCACAACTTAGACTAAATTAAATTAAGTCTGTTTTTCCATAATGTAATAAAGAAATGATTTATGTAAGCGTTTTGCGCTCCTTTTAGCCATGTGACATCAGCTTTATGATGATTGAATGATTGAAGAATAGGCTCCTCCTATATTCCCCTGGTAGATGTTGAGTCCTGCTTCTTCAGTAACATCTACATGCATGCGTTTACAGCTTGAACATGACTGAGATTTTTAGCTTTCAAACACAGGANAATCAACAAGCGTATATTCTCTTGTTTTATCGTTATCTGAGGTATTGCCAAGCGTTTCAACCCTAGCCACCATCTCATCGTCCAAGAAACTTGTGACTGTGTCATTTTCGATGCTGGAACCATCAAGGAGTGTAGTATCAACAAGTTCTGTGGGGTTGCCACCCACGAAACCAACCACTGCAGAGGAAGAGATTGTTTTTGAAGTAACAGTAACAATATCAAATAGAAACTTTACAGAAGAGCTCAGTGACTCCACGAGCCCACAATTTCGACAGTTGGCTACTAAGTTGACAAAAATACTGACCGTCGTCCTTGAAAAGGGAGGGGCAGAGTTTCTTCGCATAGAGATCACTGGTTTTAGCGATGGCAGTATTATATGCACATTTAATGTTATCACAGACCAAGGTTCTACTACATCGGACGAGCGCATAAAAAAAGCATTGACCGACGCGCGCAATAATAATGAGACAGAGGGTTTCACTTTTACTCAAATTACGGTTGAGAAAAAGGTGGCCTCTGAAAAGCCGCGGACTGGAGATAAAGAGACAACGTTCCCTGATTGGGTAATTGTTGTGATTGCTGCGTTCGGAGTAATGGTGTTGCTTATAGTCCTCATGATCTATTTGGTAAGATAATTTTATTTTACTAGGGGCTCCGTAAAAAGAGAAAACTGACCGCTTCAATGGGAATTGTGTGAGAAATCCTCTTGAGTGGAATCGAATGAATACCTTTTTTCACCCCTTCTCCTCCCCGCTCAGTGTGTCTCACACCACCACCTTATTCCTTTGAGGAATGGAATNTTTCATCTTTAATATCGACGCCATCAGCAACAAGTGTTGTAACTATCTCGCTATCAAAAAGTACGGCCAGTTTGACAGCATCCGTTGGTCTAACGCCAAATTCGACCAGTACCCTGCCTTCTGTTTCATCATCATCTGACGTATTACAAAATGTTTCATCTTCGATATCGACGCGATCAGCAGTAAGTTCTATGATTATCTCGGCCAGTGCTGCAGTATCTGTTGGCGTAACACTAGAGTCGTCAAGTGTACTGCCTTTTTTTTCATCTTCATCTGCGATATTAGTGAGTGTTTCCTCTTTGATATTGAAACAATCAGCAACAAGTTCTGTGGTCATCTCACCGTCACTTGAAAGTACAGCCAGAGCCACAGCATCAGTTGTCGTAACGCCTGATTCATCAAGTGTGTTGCCTTCTGTTTCATCATCATCTGAAGTAACAGTGAGTGTATCCTCTTCGATATTGAAAGAATCAGCAACAAGTTCTCTGTTTATCTCACCATCACAAAGTACGGTCCGTGCGACATCATCCGCCATAGTAACACCAGATTCGTCAAGTATCCCACCTTCTGTTTTATCTTCATCTGCGACATTAGTGAGTGTGTCCACTTTGATATCGAAACAATCAGCAACAAGTTCTCGTTCTATTTTAATATCCCAAAGTACGACCACTACTTCAAAAGGAGAATCAACAAGCGTATATTCTCTTGTTTTATCGTTATCTGAGGTATTGCCAAGCGTTTCAACCCTAGCCACTATCTCATCGTCCAAGAAACTTGTGAGTGTGTCATTTTCGTTACTGGAACCATCAAGGAGTGTAGTGTCAACAAGTTCTGTGGGCTTGTCTTCTGCTCAATTGTTACCGAGTTCAACTCCAGCTTTAAGTAGTGTACTTTTTACCTCATCATATTTGTCCAGGGAAACTGTGAGCTTTGCAGCTTCTGTGTCGCCAACGCCTTCCACCGTGAAAGATACGTTACCTGCTTCATCTACAGTAACTATCCCGACTACTCCTGATCAAGGAACGATGGAGAGATTCATAGTTTACATGACTATAACAAATCAAGATTATGACACAATGCTTACAGAGAAAGAAAGTAATAAATACGGAACATTTTCTAAAGAAGTCGAAGATTCAGTTAAAACAGCCCTCGAAGAGGTTGAAGGTTTTGTCTACTCTAAAGTGGAAAGATTTAGTGAAGGCAACAATATTAGCTGCCAAATGACAGTCTTCGTAAAGAAAACGTTTTCTGTTACGGAAGAGAAGATTCGAGAGAAACTAGGAAACAAAATAGGTGTCTTGGAAATAACAGATGTAATTGTTGTGGACACGAGCTTGCCACCCACTGCACAGGAAGAGATTGTTTTTGAAGTAACAGTAACAATACCAGATAAAAATTTTACAGAAGAGCTCAGTGAACCCACGAGCTTAGAATTTGAAATGTTGGCTGCAAAGTTGAGTGCAATACTGACCGACGTCCTTGAAAATGAAGTTGCAAATTTTCTTCGTACAGAGATCACTGGTTTCAGCGAGGGCAGTATTATATGCAAATTTAATGTTATCACAGCCCAAGGTTCTAGTACATCGAACGAGGACATAAAAGACGCATTGACCAACGCGAGCAAAAATAATGAGACGTCTGGTTTCACTTTTACTAAAATTACGGTTGAGAAAAAGGTGGCCTCTGAAAAGCCGCGGACTGGAGATGAAGAGACAACGTTCCCTGATTGGGTAATTGTTGTGATTGCTGCGTTCGGAGTAATGGTGTTGCTTATAGTCCTCATGATCTATTTGGTAAGATAATTTTATTTTACTAGGGGCTCCGTAAAAAGAGAAAACTGACCGCTTCAATGGGAATTGTGTGAGAAATCCTCTTGAGTGGAATCGAATGAATACCTTTTTTCACCCCTTCTCCTCCCCGCTCAGTGTGTCTCACACCACCACCTTATTCCTTTGAGGAATGGAATACCGGGGAGGGGGGGAGGGAGCGGTGGGTGGTGTAGAAAAGATCAGCAAGTTTTCAAGACTTTTGTCATAATTTGTAAATAGGCGAAACATGTATTTGTGATTTCTGGCTGACTGGACGGCTAACGCTTCACCGCAGAGATTAATGACTATTTACTTACTAGAATCGCTGAATGAGTCTCTACTCAATATAAATGATGTAGTTCGGCGATTTACGGGGCATTCTTTTATTGCCCAAACATTACATTCAGTTTCACATTTCATTCTCTCTTACAATACCAACACATTGCTCGACAGACATGTGGTAGGAAATTAAAGAGGAAATCATGGATTCTCTGTGTAGCATTACCTTTAGGAAATACCGTCTTGTTGTATAAACATACAACATACAAAAATTGAACATAACATTTAAAAATGTCAATTTATTCTCTTGTAGATTTTTAGAAAACGCCGAATCCATCATCATGCTTTGGACTTTTTGGACATATACGATAACATTGGTATCGCGCTAGAGGATTTTCACGAGCGAAAGATGACCGTATGCCAACAGGAAAACGGGAGAACGGAGTAAATTGAAAGGTAACATGTGTTATTCAAGCTCTTTTCCAGCTCAATGGGAATGGAAAACGATATGTGGTCTATCAATCAATATTCAGTAGATATGGTTGCCAACGTCTACAGTAGCTGGATCATCCAGCCGGCTCCAAACGGTAGTAGACAAACAATATTTTATTTGCACTTCAGCAAACCAGTTAAACGGGCTTGTTGTCGTCCTGTTTGATTTACTGAGCGAGTGCTGGTGACGCAGAACACGATTAAAAGTTTGTTTTTCGGGAAAGAAACTCCTTGGATGATAAATCTTTTATTTGACATTTTGGTGAGATCTCTACACAGAGTGTCTAATCTTTTTTTTAATTTGACTAGCCTGCTAGCAGGCTCAGCTTCGAGTCACACGCGCGAGCCGCGAAGAGCAAAGCGATCTGCGCGGAAGGAGTCTGGTGAAGAGGCGCCAAGAAAGTCGATTTCGCCCTCGAGTGCTTGTGCTCCAACGTGTGCCTGCTCGCAGGCTCTAATTTGACTAGCCCAACTGTCATGCTAAAATACTGCAAGACCCGTAAAAATATACAACTCTACTGCACATTGTCTGATGAGATATATATATAAATTTATACTTCGGTTAACTTTTAGCCCTGGGTTAGCGTAAACTGGCTTCTGAACAACACGGCCCTGGCTAACGAAGCATTCAGGTGTCACGCCCGATGATCTTTCTGGCGCCTCACGTGATTAGATGAAACCGTCACGCAATACCTTACTTCTAACAATAATGAATTGATTGATTGATTGATTGATTTTATTTGATTTTATTTTTTCTCTCATTTCAGATGGTATATATAAGAATGTTACCTATGAAGAAAAGCAAGTTTATGTTCCATACGAACATTAAACGACCACTCAGCAATCAAGTCATTGCACAGTAAAGCAAAGACTGGTAGACAACATATGTACTACATAAACATATTTTGATAAGGACTTGATATACATGCGCTTTTATTTCATAAGGAAACGAAACAGATGTAACATGTTCATAACAGACAAATTTTGCCCTTGGTTGCCAACCTTAAAAGAGGCAAAAAAAATTGGAACAATTTTATGGAAAGGGAATTTATTTTGGTTAGTCCGTGACATCGTGGTGACATGATACACATAACCCAAAATGAGACTCCTTGTCTTTTTATTATCTTGTTCTAATGTATTATATGAAGTTTATTTTTGATAGGTAAGAGGATTTTTATGGATTTATTATAGTTTGAATTTTACTATTCCGTAGAATAGGCCCTTTGCAGCTGGGTTCACGTGACCAAACTTTTCCTAGAAAATTTTTATATTATGGGCTATAACTTGAAGAATGCAAGAAATGGAAAGAGCGCATCGAAAATACCAAAATGGCCAAGTTTGACGCCCCTGGGATTAAAGAGTAAGTTTATACGACAGTTTGAATTTTCGGAAAATTTAGAGGATTTGTATGGAGAATGTTGCTAGAGAACAAGGTGTTGCCCTCCAGCAACTTTTTCCACACAAGTTTTTGGATTCTTTTAAAAATTCAGACCGTCACAAAATTTCATTCTTTAATGATGGGGGCCTCAAATTTGGCCATTTTGATATTTTCGACATGCGTTTTCCATTTCTGGCATTCGTTAAGTTATAACCCATAATTTTACGAAAAATAGGTCACGTGATGGCTTAGCTGCAAAGGGCCTATTTCTCGAGAAGTGCAATCACCTTGCGTGTTTAAGGTGACTGAAAATTAGCAAATATCTTGTATCCAAGTATTGCATAAAACATTGTCCCGAGATAATTAACGCGCGTATTGTAAGAGCATAGTGCTGCTAAATCCAAAAACTAAGTTAATAGATCATACCGTTTTCTGTCTTATTATTTGTTTGTGCCGCCATGTAAAGAATATTATATTTGTCCATGCTTTATGAAAGTTTGGAAAAGGGAAAAAACTACATGCAAGCTAGCTGTACAAAGTTTACAACATCGTTTCTTTTCTTCATAAAGTAAGTGTTATTTTATAAAATATGTGCTAATTAATTTACACGGAATAATCCTGGAGCGCATGGAGGAAGCATTCAGAGTCAAGTACTCATGTAGGAAAACACTGAACACTTCTGATCATAACAGTACAAAGCACAACTTAGACTAAATTAAATTAAGTCTGTTTTTCCATAATGTAATAAAGAAATGATTTATGTAAGCGTTTTGCGCTCCTTTTAGCCATGTGACATCAGCTTTATGATGATTGAATGATTGAAGAATAGGCTCCTCCTATATTCCCCTGGTAGATGTTGAGTCCTGCTTCTTCAGTAACATCTACATGCATGCGTTTACAGCTTGAACATGACTGAGATTTTTAGCTTTCAAACACAGGAAAAAAGGATAACAACTCCTTTAATGGTGGATGCACACACTTACAATTATCAAATAAGGAATATTTACCTCTTACTAACCGAGGTCGAGGGCCGTACTGTAAGTTACGGACCGAGTTTTTTCCCCATTGATTTATGGCCCAAGCGCGAAGCGTGCGGGACATAAATTGAAGGGAAGAAAACGAGGATCCGTAACTTACAGTACGGACCGAGAAGACGAGGTTAGTAAGATATTTATTATGACGTGTTTCGGAACGATTTCTATTCACGCGGAACGGCTTCAAATTTCTGACGTACCTCGAAAGCAAAACGAGTCAATTTGAAATCGTTGTTAAGTGACTCATGAGTCGTAAGCAGGTTTTAATACACAATTTCAGAAGTAAAAGAAAGTTTTAAACTTTGACTTTCTATAAAAGTTAAGAACACTTGGCGATAAATCACCAAACCTTTTGGCAACAAAAACAGCTTTAAATTTTAGCGGGCCGTACAGTAGAATACGGCCCGCTAAACTGACCAATCACAGTGCGCGTACTAACTGGGAGATATAATAAAATACAGAATAATAATAATATAACATAAGCCTGGCTGTGTGTACAAAACCGTTTCAAAATCTTTGCAGTGATACACGTAAGTGACATACAATACTACGGTTTCCTGACATATTTATATTACACGGGTATTACAAGCCCTACTGTCAGCTAAATTACTACCCATCTGTGCCCTTGGAGTGTGTAATGTACATGAAATCAAAGGGCCTTCTTGACAGCGTTTGAAATCCCACTTTTAGGTCTGCCTGACTTGGGTCTAGGTGCTGGGCTGTTAAGTAAATCAAACAATTAATCCCTTGGGCTTAGAGCCATCTTAGCACATTACATGCCAATAATGCAAGCAAATAATAATAATAAGAAGAAAAGATCTTTCATAGAGATCAAACTGTGCAGTTTCAGAAAATATCCATATTCCCCCCACATTGGGGATTGGAATTTCCTGGGGNTTTTCATGTGGCATTTTTTCCACTTACCAATACTATCATTAACTCCAGCATGTTTTGCTAAGCCAATGAGAAATCCATAGAACGTAACCCTTTCAACAGTTGATAAGAGATCCTTAATGACATCTACTGGTGGACAGCTATAAAAAAATATATAATTATTGGTTACATGGAAGCCCCAGTTATTTCCCGATACTAAACTTTCTTACTGGAGAAAGAAAAACCCTAGGGTTTGTAATTAAAACCAATACCTTCTTAAGCTTGCAAACAACATAAGCTTGATGTTATTGGAAACACAAGAGTATATCAGTATAGAAAGTTCTTCAACTGTTTTTTTTTTCAAAGGCAGGTAAACCAAAACTTTTAATTAGTTTCTTCATGCACCAGTCAAAATAACAAGAGATAAGACCAATTACTGGACATCTAAGTGATACCACTTCACAGAACACTGAAAAAATAACCTCCAGATGTGAAAAACTACAGCTGATACAAAAAAAGCACCTAAAAGAGCCGCCACTTGCATGTATGATCTGCAGAATAGCCTCTAGGAAGGAATGAACCTCCACACCATCACCAGAATTAGCCTGAGCTGCATCTGCCGCAGCCTGAGGTGGCAGCGGAGCAGACTTGTGCTGTGTTGGTCTTGTTAGTGTTGGTAATGCCACTACTATTTGACCAGGTCTGTAAGTACCCGAGACAAGGGCTTGGTAGGTGCTATGGAGTTTGTCTATAAACTCTGCAAACAGATTACGAAATACATCATTGAAGTTCAGTGTCAGTATTGTGAAGCCAACTATAGTGTTCTTGTCAGAAATCTTGAAAAGTCAGGGATAAAAGATGACTTTCATTCAAAAACGTAAAGCAGAAAATTAAATCCATGCCTATGAACAGCTTATAGGCCAATTGTGATATTAAAATTCCAACTTGGCTCTGAAGCTTAAGGGAATAAAACAAAACAAATCACAACAAGGTTGAGGAATATATAATTTGAATAATTAATTTCTTTTGTTTCATTCCTTGAAGTCTCAGACCCAAACAAGTTTAAATATATTAAAATTGGCCTATTATACAGTAGAACCCCCGCAATAATATGGCCATCTCTACTGAGTCAACCAATGAAAACAATCCAGTCTACTCAGTTTATGATCTGTAAACCTTTTCAATCTATCCACCTTCTTTTAATGCAGCCAAGGGTCATCTTTAAGAGTTCCAGCAACCTTCTTTCATTGTTATTTGAAAATATGGATCATGCTAGGGACCATAAATATGTTCAAGCATTATTCATTTCAAGAATGGAACATTGAAACAGAATGAAATCTTGAAATTAATGTCACCAAGAGCATATATATGCTGTTTAAAATAATAATAATAATATTGTGGTGTGGGTTGTAGCAAACTTCTGTTTGACCTAAATATCAGTTGTTCTATCTTACCCTCGTAAAAGAGCTGTGTCTGGAAAGCGTACAGAAAATCAGGAAATGACATTAAGCAGTCCATGGCATCCTCCAACAAAATAATCCTGAAAATTTGACACAATTTATGGCATTATGGAGTAGTAATGAAATGGTCACATGTGAAATTAGAGACTTTGACTGAATAATGCTGTAAAAATTCAGTAAAATTATTCCCTACATTTATTTGATTACCCTTTAACACAGTAACCAAAGATAACAAACTAACCTTGCAGTCTTCTGTACAGGCTCAAATGGAAAATCAGGGCACAAAAGGCAGATAAGGGAATGATATTCTTTTGCAGATAACAAGTCTGTAATTTAGATAACAATTTACTTCCATTACAGGTATATTTAACTACTTCATTGCTTTGGTTATTTAACTGTGAAACAAAGTATTCAGGCTAAATAGGGACTTCACTCAATATTTTTAGTTTTTTGATTAGGGGAGGGGAGGGGAGGGGTGCTACTTTTATTAACCAGTTACATTAATGTTACAGCTAATCACTCATTTGTTGTACTTTGTGCCTTGATAGATTTTCATAACAAATCCTGGAGGGAAAACAATCTTTTCATGGAAATAAGGACCACACTTCACTGAGTTATAGATGAATAAATCTACCAAACACAGTAATAGCATGGCACACAGTTTCTAAAAATAAATTACATCACCAGAGACCCCCTACATGACTCAGACAAGAACTACAGTCAGTTTTGCATGAGCGTGTTATCTTCTAGACCAGAAAATCAGGCAAAAAAGGAAAGATTGGTGGTCTAGATTTTTGATTAGCTTAAATAATGTTAGAAAGCAAACACTGCTGCTGTGGGTTATGTAAAACAGATTCGAGGTGTCCAGAAAAGAGCCCAAATGTCACAAATTGCACAAGGATCTTACAAAGCCACAGTGACCGAGTCGGACAGATCCGAAAACCTTCAGGAATTCAAAGTTGAGAACTTTTAACGCAGCAGTTGTGACTAGCCGATTAGAATACTTTACAGTGAAACGTATAATTTATGAGGAAACTTATCTGCTGTTTATCCTGGCCTTGAAGACAAGACTTATCAGCCAACTTATCGCCAGAAATTCCCAAACTCGACCACCCAAGGCATCTGCTCAAACAAGTAAGATTGACCACCCTGAGACGATTCCAAATGCATGGCAGAATTAGGTGTACTGTGCAATTTGGAGGACCTAGAATCTAATAGAGCCATTTATCCAACAACATATTAAAAAATCTTTCTTACATGCAAAAACAGAAAGGGCTAGTTTCATTACAGCAAGGCAACGAATCGGCTCAGATATACGGTATTTCTTTATCAGGTATTTCTTTTGCTGGCTACCTTACTTTCTTGTGAGTGATACACCTGAATGTCGGGTACAAAAATAATATTTTTTTTCTGCTCTGGATGTAAGGAGTGTGTTCGTAAACAGCCTTCATACATGAGATCAAGCCCATCATATTTTACCGCCCTCCTTCAAACTCTGTGTTATTATTATTCCAAGGTACATGTTGTGGGTTTTCTCCAACATTTTGAGCTGGAGAGGTCATCGAATTGCAAAATTAATCGTGACTCTCAAAGAAGTAGCCCATGGAATGGTTTGTTTGTCTGAGTCACACCAGGGGTTAAATATTTTGTGACGTCATTTGTGCGCAACACTATTTAGTTTCATTACTTTATCAAATAAACTACAGATAAATGTATTTCAAAACCCCACTATTTCAAGTAAGGTATCCACTACATTTTGATTTATTACAATACCTCCATTCCTTCCTATATGTCTGAAACATTTCCAAAATACTCGAATGAAGGATGCGATGTTGTGCGGTGTCTTTCTGATGTAACTGTATTCCCTGAAGAGGGTGTGATTCCCTTGCACTACACTCCTGAAGCTGTAAATCAACAAAATATAAAGTTTTTATTCTACAAATATGTCCTAAGTTAGGAAGGAGGAACAATACCCTACTAGTGGGTTGTATCTTTCATTATCCACCTCAGTTTACAGTCCTAGATGGAGTCACTATACTGTGTTCTTAGGCTTAATAATAACAGAAATCTCTTTGCCTGGATGTAGAAGTTGATAACGACGAACTGTGGGGTAACATGACAAAATATATATGCATGTCAGGGAACCACCTGCAGTGAACTAGCATCCCGTCCAAGGAGGGTGATAATAAAATCATAATCCTAGTTGTTCATATTATGGAAGCCAACATGCTCTGCTACTGTCTGTAGCTTTGATCAAAGTGCATTTAAATAATAATATTATCAACAAAAATTGATCCAGAATTTTCTTTTGTTTTACAAGTGTATGGTCACACAAGTGAAAACTTTTTAATATCTGGTCATCGGAGACATGCATCCAGCCACAACTGATTCTAACAAACTTACTAGTCACTCAGAAAGCGAGCTGGAATAACTCTTGGATTTTCTTCTTTATGCTCCAATAATTGAGCCACTGCATCCTGCAAATTGAAAAACATATATTATATACTGAAACTCAGTGAAAAACCATATTCAAGTGATTATTTATAATTTAGGGAGCCTTGGACATGCCACGCATATTTTCATGAGTGCTATATCTCCTCACCTCTAAGGGGCTCCCTCTATCACCCTGTCTCCAGATTCCAACACTTCATTTCACTCCATGGGCCTTCCATTCAAAACTTTTCTGAGAAAGTTACCCTAACTTTTTTTCAAAATGCTTTTCAAATATATTTAGGTACAGTATCTCCACAAGGTTGTAAAAAAAACATTGTTAACACTTTAAACTTATCGTCCATCCTACTACATAAACCAAATTGAGAGTATAAACAATGTAGCACCTACAAATCCAAAAAAAAGTTTAATAATATATAATGTGCAACGAACTTACCTGAAGATATGTTAAAACATGGAACTTTGCTGAGAAAATAAACAAAAGAACTATACGAGAGGCATGGTTATCACTCACTAGCTTAGTCTAAATTGTTGTGCATTGTTATAATCAACCAGCTGCTAGGCTGCTGGAGGTGGGCCTACCTAAATATTGCTCAGCAGTCAGAGAGAACCTATCACTTTCTCCAGACATTATATCTGTTACCTCTCCAAATTTTATCAAGAACTATAACATCCTTTCCGCCTTACAATAAAAAATACATCTGAAAAATAAAATCTGCCAATGTCTCCTCCGTCCGCCATGTTGGATTAACGATATTAAAGAACAGCGGATTATACCAACAAAAATATGCGCTTATCCCATACGCGCGATCTCGAGCCCAGTTCTTCGGCTCGCCGGCAGTTCAAGATGGCAGACGAACCAACGAACTTCGACGACGAATTTTACAAGAATTTGCTGTTAGAAGAAACCAAAAAGTTAAAAAATGTGTCTCTTGATAGTGTTGAATTTGTGCCTAAGCCTGGGTATGTTATGAAATTGCGAAACAAAAAAGAAGAAAAGGTGTTTATTAATATTTGCACTTCGGAGAAAGTTCCTGAAGCGAAAGATGTCAGCGATGAGGAGCTGGTGAAAGTTTTGGAGTCTGTAGATCCTACCCAGTATCGTGTACCTATGAGCCTTGGAGAGCCTCATGTAGAAGTTGATAATCGTGGTCAAGGTGGGATGTATATATATTTGTTTATATAGTTGTTGGGTATGTTGTTGTTGACAGTACCGCAGTTTGTTGTTTTTGTATTAAAAAAACACATGCATCTGTAATCAAGCTTACTTTAGAGGCTGTAAATGTACAAGAAGCAAGCCATAAAGCATATAAACTTTCCTAAAAAACTGATCCAGGCCAAGAAAAATTATGAGGAATAAAGTTTTTCTCTGGAAAAACTGACTAAAATTGTATTCAGCTGGTAATGTGGCGGCAGACAATGCAGTCAACTGCACCTCTTTTGTTCTTAGGGCTAGGGGCATTGTTTGCATTTTTCATCAATTGTTTCTTTTAGCCAATCATAAAGAACTTTGTAAACAGTGCAGGTCACCCTGTATAATAAACCAACATATAGTCTAATAGCAGGGCTCTAAAAAAGGCTGTCCGGTGGTCCGGGACAAGTAGATTTTCCTGCTGGTCAAGTACTGTAACTTTTCATTCAGGCAAGGTCAAGTTGTTTTTCAACTAAATAAAAAAAAAGTAAACTAAGACTTGCCCAGGGCAAGCAACATTTGAGAGCTGCTTGTTGGTAGGGCAAGCTAGAATTCAAGGCTTTTTTGAGCCCTGTATAGGCATATAATGAGGTTTGAATGCTGGCATATAAATTAATGACTTGCTTTAATTCCTATTGTCCAGGAGATTTTGTAACTGGTAAGAGAGATTCGCTCTGTATCCAGGTGACTCCCAGATAATCCGGGAGAGTTGGCATAAATGCTTACCTATATAATATCGTGGGTGGAAAATTACTCCTTAATTCTGGCACAGAATTTCAGCGCTAGTTTATATTTCACATGTGAAATTACAAAATTGTCATCACANAGATTCAAGTAGTTTTTTAGACGAACGTTATTCAGACTAAATGGGGCTTCACAATCTTTCAAGACACCACAGTGACTGCAAAATGCATAAATTAACACATAACCTGAATAATGCTGCTGATGTGGCATGTTTACTATTCAACGTGACATTTGAGACATTGCATTGGGCGTGATAAAATTATTTCTCAGAAATGAAATAAAGCAAAACTGATAACAGAGTCTTTTTGCGTAGTATTGTGTGGCAGTATAATAAAATAACTTGTTCCATATTCGGCCACAAATTTCCAATTAAATCATTTTTTTTAGCAGAAATGCCCGGTCAGAGTGTCCGACCAGACTAAGCTTTTACCTGTCAAAACCTCACCTTTACCGGACAATGACGATGACCGACTGTTATTTGCAGGCTTGCATCAGATGACAATGTTTGGCATGAAATTTCACAGTACAATAAACAAATCAAAAACCCACAATTGTAAGCGTAATTTGTCGCTTATGATATTATTAATAGTTAATCAAAGGGTATGCTCATAAAATCAGGAAATAGTTTCATGCGCATTTTGTCAAAATTACAATCATTTTCCTCGCCTAAAGGCTCGAGAAATTATCAGAATTTTGACAAAATGCACATGAAATTATTTTGTAATTTCACTGGTCACCATTTGATTACCCATACATATTTCTCAATCACACTACCCTAATCCATCATTTGTACAGTAATGTATGCTGGTTTGCTCTTCATTTTAGGTTGCACAGCATACGATGTAGTCATTAATCCAACATTTTACAACAAAATACAAAATAGTGAACTCTTCAAAAGCTTCTTCCTCACCATTGTTTTTGAGGGACTAGAAAGTAAATATGACACTGAATTAGAAAGAAACTGGACTGTACTTAAGAAAAAAAAGTGTATGGGTGTTCTACAACCTCATTTCATAAGAAGCAAAAGTAAACCTGTGATAATGGAAATGGATGATGAAAACACGTCAACCACAAAAGAAGGTAAAACAGCTTTAGTGTACTTTTTTTCTGACAATTTCCTGTAGCCTGCATTGCAGATGCTACATACTGCTGCTTACATTTCAACCCTTATTAAACGGTCACCCCCAGAGAAATGGATAGTGGGACAAGGGGCTTGGCCGCTTAATAGAGGTAAAACAATAGAAAAGCTGACTGCCTAATAGGAGTGGCCATTTAATAGGTGGCTACTGATAGGGGTTCAACTGTATTCAGGGCTGACATTAAGTTTTGAGTCACCTGTAGACCTGTTCTCCATACCCATAGCAAACTTGTTACTTTGTAGGTGAATTCTACCAACAACAGGCAATTTCACCCTTACCATTTGATCAAGGGAAAATCAAGCATACTCAGCTGTAACAGTTGTTACGGGTTACAGCCCTTAATGACAGCTCCAGTATTTATGGGGAAATTTCTTTCTGCAATGCAAGCTACCTTCCTGTTGTCATGGAGGGACAAGTGCCTGATCCATGCTACCTAATCCTTGCCTTGGTTATCCAGTTTACTCCAACCTGAACCCTACATTCAATTCTGTGAAAAAGGAAAATCGTCTTTTTAATTTAACTAATGTAACTTTCCTATTTAATTATCCTGTAGCCATGTTGAAAGAAACTAAAAAGATAGAAGAAGTGGACTCTAAATCAGAGGTCGTTACACCACAATATCATATAATAAGGGAGCCACCAGATGGAAGGCCAGAATTTCTGGTCATTGAAATTGATCTCCCAGGCATAGTAAGTACATATTTCTGTAATATGATAAATATGTCCCAATTAAACTTCTTTAAAAATTGTTAATAAGTGAAAAAAAAGGAAGAGTGGAGTATAATTTTAGGCACAACTGTCAAAACATAATCACAATAAGACTGAACACCTCTGAGCTCTTAAGTTTGTTATACACAAGTGAATATCTAGTAAATATATATATTTTTTTTCTTATATAGTAATATAAGCGCATTGAGTTTTCTAAATGCACCCAAAAAACTTTATTATTATTATTATTATTATTAAAGATTCGCACAGCTATTGATGATATTGAAGCTGGTTTCGTATTTGGCTCCGGGCAACAACAAGTTGCCTAGGGAAGCCATGAAACACCCCTTGTTTGCTTTTTCTCTTCTTTTTACATCTCCAGCACCTTTCTAAGAATTCTTGCCNGAAGGTTGGATGTAGTACCGTTTGCATTCTGATTGGCTGTGTTTTCTATTGCATGGTAAAAATGTCAATTTATGGTGAAAAGACTTATTGATTAGACACCAAAAGATGTAAAGCTTGTCATGATATTGATCAATGCTTTAAAAATAGGTAATTCCCTTTGTTATGGATGTTGAAAAATATTTTATTAATTCAGTTATGAATTTAAAAGTTATAAAATATTTAAAAAGCAGAACCAATTTTTAAACTTTGCTTACTTTTATTTCAGGAATAAATATCCAGTTTTAAAATTCATCTTGATAGTTTTACAGAGTGGCATATGATGTTTAAAAGACGATTTAGCCATAGAAACAATTAACACAGTCAGATTAACATCACACCAAAGTTATTGCATAATGGACAAATTCTCTCAGACGTTTCTCTCAGATACAAGAGGAAAAAGAAAAGAATTGAATCAGGGAGATAGTCTTAGTTCATGAGAAAATCTTGGTTAAGAGACGCCGATTCCAAATAGATAAGAGTAACACTTAGAGAGATTCAAGTGAAGAAATGATGAAGCCCATCCAACTTCAATATTTGCATGAAAAAGTTTTGTTTGTTCACTGATTCTGCCACACAATCTACTCACCTCATGCATTTCAAAAGAATCTCGTTGAACGAGTTCCTGTTAAGTGTTTAAATTGGAAAAAAAGAACAGCAATTTGTAAGCTCTGTGGGAACACACTGAAAAGTTCAATACGATTTAGTATCAACTTGAATCAGACTTTGAGTGCCCTCTGCATTGGATGTGAACAAATAATACTGCAGAGAAAAGATGTGAAACTAATTGCATGTACACGACTGTATGTTTCTATGAATGAAAGCATTAATTGGTTAGCTTTGTTACTTTCTGAATACAGCAATGAAGCCAATGAGAGTAGCATACATGTAGAGCTGCGGACAGCAAGCAAATTAAAGCAACCACCACAGTACTAATAATACATTAGTAGCATACATTAATGCTTTATACCTGTTTATCCTCTTTTCCCTCTTTTGAGACAATAGGATCAGTTTCAGTTGGTTCCTTCTTGTCCATTCCTGCTCCAAGGCGCCAAGCTTTGAAATACTTCTTCTGGATGTGCACTTTAAAGGAAATGTGAAAATTATAAAATACAAATCCTTCGACACTAAAACTGGTTTTCAGCACTGATTCAAGAGTAATAATTATTTATATGTAAAACAAGTTACAAGAAAAGGAATCAGTCAGAGTAAAACCTGCAGTCTAGAGCATCTCCAATGTTTTGAGGTGACATTAAAGGAATTAGCTCATGTGTACAAAAAGGCACCGGTGGTCCACTGTCAAACGATACCAGCAATCAACACTTGATCAACATCTTGGTCGATGCTTGGTCTACAAATCGTTTGTCACTCGGTCAAGTAGTCTGTTGGTCTACAGAATCTTAATTTCTACAGACACATCACCGAGTGTGGATCGATATTAGCAGTGATCACACATGCAATATTTCAGTCCACACTTGCCTGATGCACCAATAATGCTACCTTGAGGTCGGCTGTCGGTAGCATGTCAGTAGTCAGGCTGTAATATATATCAGTGCGTAAATCAATATAATATAACTTTTTAGCACTCATTATTAAGAATAACTGTGATAATCTCTTACTACCTTCTTGAGCAGCTTTGTCTTCAGCATCAGTGTGATCACCAATCCGGGTTGGCATCTGTCTCTTGGCCATCATAACAAACTGATGCAACACCTTACGCTGCATCCTGTCAAAACAAAACAAACATGTTAAAATTTTATGTGGTAGACCAACATTAAATGTGTATGGCTTAAAGGCAAAGCAACACACCATCAAAAATGTTAAACACCTGAATAAGTAACAATGTTATTACTAAAGAACACATCAAAAATTTACAAATAGAAAACAAAACAAAACACTGTCTTACTAATAACATAGAAAGAAGACTGTACTTAAAACAATTAAATGGGAATTGACTGTACAAATCTCTCATTTTTTTGTGGCTAGGTGTCACATACATGCTCAAGAAAGGGTGAATGATGATGAGTTCAAATTGAATGCAAGAATTGCAATGTATGCTGCCAGGAGTCATTGGTCCATGTCCTTGGCCAGTGTAATGTATAACTGAGTGGGTAGTTTTTTATTTGCTAAATAAAACAAATCAGTTACAGTGTGTGACATACATTTCTTGACGATGCCTCTCTGCTCTCATTTGGGCCGACTTACTGTCAACAAACTATGAAAAGAAACAAAGACAGTTCGAAAAACAGAAATTAAGATTCAAAGTCATTAATTACAAACTAAATATCAAGCAGTTCAAAAATTTGCAATTCTAATTCCATGGTATTTTCAATGTTATTAGTATGGGCAGTCATACCTGTATGAATGCATGTGTAACTAAGAATTTACACTACGAGAAAATTCTCTCAAACTTGCACAAGCCTTTCGGCAAGAGCAATTTGAAAGAATTTTCAAATACCATTGGTAGTTTGAATTCTTAATTGCTTGAGACAATCATTAATTTGCACTGCTGTTGCGAATAAAAAACTAACAATTAATTGCACGTCTCAGCCCATCACAGTGAAGTAATTTTGTCAGTCACAATGAATAACTTTATTCTGATAATAATGCGTTCAATGCTTGCAGTGGAACTGGAGTGATAGTAAAGAGGCTAACCAGGAAAATCAGATAAGCAACGAATCCAATGAAGCAGATGATCATGGTCGCCAAGGCAGCTTGGCGCACATAAGGTGGCTGATCTCCAAAGTTGTGTGGGCCAAAATGCCAATCTGCTCCTTGTACAATGCTAAGCAAAACATATGTAAGAACCTGCTGGTCAGATCCTCACTTAATTTAAAACTATACAGTCAATAATATCCAACACTTACATACTAAGTACTTTCATTATATAAAAATAGGTACCCACAGGGTACATGTGTGGAATACATGGATCCAGAATGCACTGCAATCTTTGAAACTCATTTACATTAACAGACACGAGCCAATGACAATAGTGTGGGATATGGTATCCCACACAAAAACCAATGAAATACCAGGTGAGCTTTTGTGCAAAAGCATGATATCTTCACACATGAAAATATGTTATCTTCACATGTGAAAAGATCACTGTTATGGTTGCATAATGGTGCCTTTCATGGTGAAAGTGAAATGGGTTGGCTTTCATTGACATTTATAAAATATATAGAACATTACAATATAGATTGCCACTACAATATATGAAATTTTTCTTCTCATGTTGAAAAATACTTCTTCAACACTTGAGGAGAAATTTTGTATCTCTGCATGACCATGTGATATCTTCTATATATTAATATACTATAATAATAATAATAATAATAATAATAATAATAATAATAATAATAATAATAAACAGAATACGCACGTTACAATTCAATATGAGTAACAATGATACTTACAAGTATGACAGCGATGTTAACAGCATAATTCCAACAGCTGTCTTCACACTGGGTAAAATTGTCACACCCTGCAAGTGTACGAGAATAAATAAGAACATGCTGAATTGTTAAAACTGACAAAGGTAGTCATGGTTTTGTTATAGAATGACAACAGTGAAAAAAATACACAGTTTAATGGCCTGGTGCTTTACTTACTTTACATAATAAGTAATGGACTTTCCTAAGAAGATATACTAATTGACTAATCAAGCACAGATAACTTGATCCATTGACACTAAGAACAAAAGCCCTTACTGATAACCAACTATTGCAAACTAACCGTCATGATATGGAGAACTTGGTAGATAAAATTCTGAGCCAGAGTTCAGCTGAACATTTTGATGTTCTAATGAAAATGAATCACAAGCATTATAATGACTAGAGAAATAGATTACCTGTCTGTTACAACTGATCTTTCCATATCCACTGCCTTCAATAGCTTCATCGTAAGCATTAAGGTCGCACTTTCCAATTGCCAAGCTTCCAGCCCATGCTGCTGTCAATAACATAATGGTGCTGCCTGCCAATGTCCTACACAGTGTCATCAAAGGATTAACAATTATTATTAATTCATATATTTGACAATAACCCAAAAGAATGCATGGTTAAGATTGGTGAAGAACAAGATGGATTAATGAATGATGAACTTGGGGTCTACCTACCATTTAATTCACAAAATATACAGGGTTTGTACCCTTTTTCAGAAACAAATTTCCAGGACTTTTCCAGGACTCAGATTGATTTTTCCAGGACTCTAAAATTTACATTAACCCGTTCACTCCCAAGATCTTAATGTTAATTCTCCTTACTGTCTGCCATACATTTCATATTTTTTTACTTGAGTTAAACAGATTTCCAGAACTTTCCAGGACCAGTAGCCCTTTTCCAGGACTTTCCAGGTTTTCCAGGACCCGTATGAACCCTGAATATAACATTTGTCACAAAGTCCCTTTGAAATGTTGCCCATGACAAAACAATATTTAACATCTTTGGTCAACCTCCAACCTTTCTAACTTGTCACTGTTATTTTTGTAGTCATCATCATTATCATTTATTTGCGACACAATTAAAAAAAATGAATTATATAAATTAACAACAATTTTGATAGGGTGAGAAGACCCCCAGAAAACCACCACCACTAATAGTGTAGGCCACCTAGTTAATAGTAATAATTTTAATTTTTAGCTACAAGTGTGTGTGTACAGCATAACCAATTCAGCATTCAGTAAAAATCTAATCATCCTTTTCTTGAAGCTGGAAAACTTGTTGAACCAGAAATAGATACTGGCAGAGAATGTGCTAACTATATAACATCCATTTCCTTTATTTCCAATTACCAATTCTTTACTGTACATCTAAAATTAAAAAGTTCAATGCTGAATGATTTTTACATTTTTGTATAATTAATTATAATAATATTATAAACACAGGAGATCAAATAACATTTCTCACCCCATGCCAACTGAAAGTTTGGTTTGAGCATCAGGTCCAAGACCAGATACAATGATAATGGCCGAGTCGGGTACTGCTCCAAGCAGTGGAAGGACAATACCACCTGGAGAAAAAAATATACATTCACCCTTGCTACTGGCTTTCATACTTTTTACAAAATATTTGATCTCCAACTTTCTGCCTGGTGTGGCACTAGCTCCATGATCTCATTATTCAACCTCCTCCTTAACTTGTTAAAACACTGTACAGGGAGGAAAGGGAGAGGGTTCAATTGGATAGGACTGATTGAAACCTAAAACCGAGAACAGAATCCAGTTTTCATGGTTACCTTCCCTTCTTCTTGAGAAGATTTCACTGAAAATGTAAAATTTCAACTTGTAGACCTTTTCACTTACCAATCAATGATGGGGAACAACCAAGATCCAGCAAGAGCTCAGCACCATCTATCAAAAATTAAAAAAAATAATTTATTTCTGGGAAAAGAAAGTGTTTAAGTGTTAAACCATGGCAAGTTGGGGAGGGGTGGGAGGAGGGGGTGGAGACCCCAAAAGCCACTATTCAATTGGTGAAGGAAAGTATAAACCAAAACTGGAAATTCCAGGGGATCAGAAGGGGGATTCAAACTGAAAAAACCCTCTTGGGGAGGGGTATGGATATTAATTTTTGTGACACAACCCATTATGCGGACATGCGAGTCTTATATTAATTTTTTATCAAAAGCTTGAAATAGAAACTTCTCTTTCTGATCATGACTGCAGTGGCATATTTCTTATTGTTTGTTCTAAGAATCTAGCATATGTTGGCAGAAATGAAATGAGGGTTAGGAATAGAGCAAAACTTTGTTGGAAATTTCAAAACTTTGGGATTTGGGATTCATTTTGTGAATGCTACAGTGTATGCACAGGAAATCAATACTTTAGAAATACTTAACACCCGCTTTCAGTGTTATGTGCATAGGTGACATCTTTCGACCATCTTTCGACGTGCTATGAAAGACCGTTTAACTGTAAAACTGGTAGTTTTTCCAGTTACTAGCGGAGGAAATGACAAGTAAATGATGATTACCTACCTCAAATGGCTGAAGAAGATTTTGGACTTTGCATGCTTCCCCATTTACGGGATGATTCAAGCGATTTAGTGTAGTCGATCGGATCTCAATAGTGACTTCCGGTAGAATTGGGC